TGAATAGACAGTAAAATTTTAGGAAAATTTGAGAAATGTCCGGCGAAAAATCATAAATTCGAAAAAACAAGAATTTTCAGCGAGAGAGTGTGCGAAAGGAGGAGGGTGGTGTGACAAACTTAAAGGCGCGCTTCTTAAAACTGTCGATGGTTCCGCAACGAAACAGTGGATACTGTAGTTCTTAATTCTTTTTTGAAAGTTTTAGCTTTCAAACAAGGATTTTTATTGAAGAAAAAAGAAAAAAGCAAAGAAAAAAAAATTTATTGATGATGTTCATATTCATGTTCCATCCCAAAAAAGTGCTTTGTATCATGTTGAAATCTCATAATTTCCACGTGGTAGAAGAAGAAAAGAAAGATTCCAGTCAGAATTGTCAGGCAACACAGAGGAAGAAGACATGTGGATGTTAGAACTGAAAATGTGCTCTATTGAGACATCGGCAATCGAGCGTGTTTGCTTACGACAACTGATACATTGGCAAGGGCATTTGATGACAGACCAGCAGCAACCCATCTGAAAATTTTCATTAAAAATTGAAATTTCAAAAAAAAAAAATCAAAATTACTGGTAAACGAAATGTGCTATATTGAAGCGAAGGAAATCGAGAAAATGGATAAAAAGAAATGATTTTCATTCAATCCGCACGTGGGTTCAGGCGAGGTGGTCAGAAAGCGCGCCCCAGTAATTTTTTCGAAAATTCTCAATTGGCTGCTGAGAGTTCGTTGACTGACAATCATACTTTAATGCATTAGGCCGAGAAGACGAAAATTTTTTTCAATATTTTTTCGATGTTTTCTTTCGTTTTCGCTCGTTTTTTCTCGTTTTTTCTCGTTTTTTCCACTTTTTTTCAGTGAAAATTAGTTGAAAAAAGTTTCAAGTTAATTATTAAGGTGAGCAGTCCAAGCAACGGCCTCGTGCATTGATGAGTCAAGTGAGCGAATGGAAGAAAGCTCGATTTTCGACGTTTTTTTGAGGTGAGTAACTGAAATATGTAATGTTCCAATATTTATTGATTTTCTAGGCTCGAGCCATCGCTCCGTCAGCTTGAAGCGAAGGAAGGATATCAATTTGATAATGGATTATAAAACATGTGAGTAAGCTGTGAGTTTATTAAAATTTAATATTATATTAAATGTGATATTAAATGCATTGAGGTTCTTCCATAATTATCAATTCTTTATTAGAAGTTATTCAATAATTCGTTCTATTTTCAGAGCAACCAGAATCCGGCATCCGATTGCGAAGACAACAACGACACGAGCTGTCCTCATGAGAAGTCGGATGGATCATCGTGAGAAGTCGCATGGATCAAATGGGTTTAATAATAATTGTTATCTCTCTTGTTATATGCCATGAATCTCAATAAATGGTCATATATTGCCTTGCCCTTCCTCGGGCAATTTAGGGAGAACAGCAAAATAAATGGGGCAGTATTCACCGAAAAAAAAAAACGAATTCATAGCCTTCTGTATCGTTTAAAAAACATTTGAAATAACCACGTGAAATCCACGTGTCATTTTGAATTAGTTAATTTCGGCTGGCCTACGAGTTAGCTGGGGCGCGCTTTCTGACCACCTCGCCTGAACCCACGTGAATCCGTAAACAAATAGATAAAATTGGAAATGTTTGTTGAAAAATTTTGACATAGTTTTGAAATTTTTAAAGTTTGAAAAGTTTTGAAAATTAAAAATTTCACAAATAAATAATTTCAAAATTTTAGAAACTTAAAAATTTAGAAAGTTCGAAAATTCAAGAAATTCAAAACTTCAAAATTTCAAAAAGCTTAATGTTCCAAAATGTTTCGAAATCACTAAATTTTCGAACTTTCAAAAAAATTCAAAATTTTCCAAAAAATTGAAAAATCCCAAATTTCAAAAAATTACCGAAATTTCAAAAATTCAGAAATCCGAAAGTTCGAAAATTGAAATTTAAAAATTTTTAATCTTCAAAAATTTCAAAAATTAGAAATTCTAGAATTTCAAAATGTTAAAATTCTAGTTTCTGAATTTCAAACTTTAAGAAAAATGCAAAAATTTCAAATTTTAAAGTTTTAAAATTCCAAATTTCCGAATTCTAAAATTTCAAAAAATTCCCAAATTTCAAAAGTTCGAAAATATAAAAAATTCTAAAACTCAAAATTTAACAATACGAAATTTTCAAAAACCTGCTAATGTTCAATCTCTAGTTTGTAGTTTTGCAGAAGCCAAAAATTTCAATTACACCAAATTCATTTCATTTTTCAAAAAGAAAAATCATACACATAAATAAATCGGGAGGGTCGAGAGGAAAGAGAATTGATTGTTTTTTTTTTGGGGATGCGGCGAATTTTTCTTTCAAATTTAACATGAAAATTCAAAAATCTGAGAGTGGGAAACATTTTTCTCCATTTGCATATAAAACATAGGGGAAGTAAATCGAGGATCATATGGCAAATTGTGAATGAAAAATTTAAGAAATATGGGAAATTTTTAAAACGGGATGAAACTAGATATTTCTGACTAGGAAAAACGGGAATTTTCAGAGAAAAAAAAGAAGAGATTTGCGTTAAAAATAAAGGAAAAAACTGGGAAATTAAAATTTTTCCAAGAAAAAAAAGACGATATGTGGCAGGAAGATGCAATAAAGAGTGTGAAAACATGGATGAGATGAGATGAAAAAATGGGAATTTTCAGAGAAAAATTAGAAATCTAGAAATTTTTTTCAAGGGACAAAAAATTTCAGACATAGACCGGTGTGACGTTGTGTTCTTTTTCATAGGCATGCCATCTGGAATCATCCGATTCGTGAGTGACGAAACGTTGACCAACTGCTTTTTCCAACACTCGAAGGTCCGACCAGATGGTGTAGTTCTGGAAAAAAATAGACTTTTTTTGGAAAAAATTTGAGAATTTGAAGTTTTAGAATTGTTTTTTTCTAAAAAAATTTGATGATATACATACACTTTTACAAATTCAGAAAATTGAAAAAAAGTTAGGTTACGGTAGTTTTTGTTCTGGGAATTCTACCAGTTATTTTAAATCTTTTTGATTCGAAATTAGAATAATTTTCGGATGCTAAAAATCTTGAATTTTGGATTACTGTACCTGCATCCAGATATGCGACTGCGCCTTCGCTACCGTATACCGCTTGCTCATCTTCACTTGAAGCAGTCCGTTGATGAATTCGATAGCTGGAAAAATTTAGAATTTTTCAAGAACTAAAAGTTTGCCAACATTCAAAATGAAATATTTCGAAAACTTTAAGAAATCCAAAATTACAAAAATTTGAAATTCGAAAATTCAAATTTTCAAAAAATGCTCAAAAATTTAAAAATTCGGTATAATTAAAATTTTCAAAACTTTTCGAACTCCCGCCACTCCACTTACCATTCTCCGAAATCTCTTTCCACGGTGACGGTGGGTACATGAATTCGGCATTTTGTATTTGATCATTAATATCTTCGTCTTCATTGAATGGGAATGTTCCGGACAGGGAAACATAGACAATCACACCAACACTCCACATATCCAGCGAACGATTGAATCCTTTGTTTCGGAGAACCTGGAAACTCCCAAAATTAAAAAATTGAATTTCCAGCAATTTTAATAGGATTCTTGAAATAAAAAATTGTTGTCTCTTTTGTCAAAATTTTTTATTTTTTGGTATTTTTTCAAAATTTTCATAATTTTAAACTTTTTAAAGGAGGCGAGACAGCAAAAATTTCGGGGGACAGTCTGGGGGACGAAATCGCGCCGCGCTTATGTAGACCATCGGTCGTCAGGCGCCTTCGCGCCCCGTAACTCAGCCGGTAGCGGCGCTGTACCCCTGAGCTGCCTGTCATGAGTTCAACCCCCCCCCCCCATGGGGGTTCTCTAGGCAAAATATTAGGAAAACTTTTTTTTTGGTGTCTGGCCTCCTTTATATTCTTACCTCTGGCGCCAAATAGGCTGGCGTACCAACGACACTTCTTCTAAAACTCTTTTCTCCAATAATTCGTGCGAATCCAAAATCGCATAGTTTCACTTGAGGGAAATCGGAATTCGAGTTGAGCAATATGTTCTCGGGCTTCAAGTCACAGTGCACAATGTTTTGATGATGCAGGTATCTGGAAAAATCGATGTTTTTAGATCGCATTTTTTTTCCGGAACTTTTTATAGATTCCTAAAATCAGATTCCTAAAATCCAAGTTTAAAGGTGGGGGGACAGGAGATTTTTCGTAGTTTTTTTGTAGCTAGAGTATGCATTCTACCGTCACGGTGTACAACGCTTAATGTCACTCTGCGTACAGCTGTCGTCCTCGCCTTCATGTATGCAATCGGGCATGCGCTTTCTCTTTGCCCGCGTGGCTCAGTCGGTTGCGGCGCCGCACCCTCAATCATCGCCCTCACAAGTTCAACTCCTCGAGGGGCATCTTTGAACGGAATTTCGAGAACATTATTTTTTTCATGTCCCCCCACCTTTAAAAATCAAAAGTTTAGAAAAATCAGAATTTCAAAAGTTTGAGAAATTCCTGAAAAGTAAACTTTTGGTTGATAAAAACATGTTTTCGGAAAATGTAGATTTTCAGGCAGTTTCAGATTTTATGATTAAAACTGAAAATTTGGATTTCGGGGCATTTTTGTAGATTTTGAGATCCAGAGTTTTCCAGAATTCGAATTTTATCTTTTGCCGATAAATTTTGGATTTTTTTTCAACAAACCTATTTTTTTCGAATCAATTTCGTATCTCAAGCATGATCTAGAATGTTCCCAAATCTTCTTACCTCAATGCCTCCAAAATCTGAGCAACCAAAAATTGTGTGGTCCTCTCGGAGAGTCGTCCTTTCTCTGACGAGAGTATCATTTCCAGCATGTCTCCTTTCAATTTTTCCATCACAACGAAAATTCGATCAGTCGTTTCGAGCATTTGCATGAAATGCACCACTCCTGGGTGGTCCACTTGCTGCAAAATTCATTTATGGAAATCTTAAAATTTGGAATAAATTATTCTTACAAGTTTTTTTCTTTTTTTTCAGACAAAATATATATTTTTGGCCCATTTTTTAAAATTCCAAAGATTTACCTCCAAAATTTGCACTTCGGCTCTCAACAAATCCTCCTTATTCGGCGGAAATTTCAGTTTGTCAATCAGCTTCACTGCCACGTGTTGTCCATTTCTCCGGTGAATTCCACCGTATACCGTTCCGAATTGCCCGGAACCCAAAACTTCTTCGGCGAAGATTTGGTACAGTTGGGAGAACTCTTGTTCCGTTTGAATTTTTGCACCGAGATGACCAGTTTCTCCTGAAATTAAAAAATGAAATTGATTGTGGATTTTAAGAGTCTTCTGAATTCAGAAGGCGTCAGAAATAACATTTTGAGATTTGGTGTTAAGAAAAATTTTTAAGTTCAAAAAAAATTTTTTTTTTTCAAAATTAACAAAATCCATATTTTGAACATTTCAGATGTCGTCCGAATTTTAGATTCTACAATTTTTAGATTCTACAATTTTTAGATTCTACAATTCAGAAGACGTCCAACTTTCATAAAACTGCAAAATTCAGAAAAATTCTAATTTTGATTAGATTATAGAACTTCAGAGGACGTGAAAATTTTGAAAAATTGAAAATTGTTTTCTTATCAGAAGACGCAAGAAGACGACCAAATTCCGAAAAATCGAAATTATGAATTTTTAGAAGACGTCAAACTTCGAAAAATATAATTTTCAGATTTCTAGAAAAATCCAGAATTCCTAGAAATTCAGATGACGTCACAATAAATTCTGAACACTTCTTCTTCTTCTTCTTCTTTTTCTATTGTTTTGCTTTTTCATTGTATTTTTATTGTTTCCAAAAGTTTGTTTTATTCAATTCTTCTCCCCAAATAACCAGAATCCTCGCTGTTCTAAAAGTCTAGAAATCAGATGACGTCAACAGTCAGACAGACAAAAAAAAACTCAAATGATAATGAAAATCTTCGTCTTCGTCAAATAATCCATTTATTTATTTGTGGTTTTTCTCTAAATTCTGCAACAACGTCTTCTGAATCTTATGAATCTTCCGAATCTCCCAAATTCAGAGTTTGAAAACAACTAAACAAGAAGTTGCTGTTCTTTTGCCTTTTTTTCGCCAAAATCTTTACTTTACTGACTTCAGAATTCAGACGACGTCCCGAAGAAGACGTAATTAATGTCTTTTTCTTGAATAACCGGAAAGTGATAAACTGATAGTGTCCCATGACCCGTGAAAGAACAGAAAAAACCAGACAGATAAAAAAAGTTGAAAAGTCAAAACATAAATTTTTGTTGAGAACAGAACAGGCAAATTTGTAAAGATGACCGGATGGGGGAAAAAATGGACCAACAGGACCGGCGTTTTTTTTCGGAAAAAAACAAAAGAAATTGCAAATTGAGAAAATCAAGGAGTACTTTAGTAGCTATTCGCAAAATAGTAGATACCTAATAGGATTAGTGTATAAATTCAAAAAAAACGAACCTTCAGTGGGAACTTTCAGCTTATCGACTCGTTTTCCACCGACCACAGAACTCTGTGGGGTCACTGGCATTAGAGCCGATTGAATTGCAGTGGTCCACGATTGAGCATCCAGTGATCCTGATGACTTTTCATCGGCTGGTGAGCCCGCTGAAAATGGAAGATTTTGAATTGAGCAATTAAATTTTTTGAATTTTTGAATTTTTTAAAACATGTGAAAACCCTCTGGAAGTTTGAAAATGTTTCTCTGTAAATCAATCTATAATTACCATCACTCCATCCATTTCTTTTCGTCATCAAGACCAAACAATCCGCAGCGCGTCCCAAATATTTTGAAGCCGTCGATGCGATCGAAGCAAAACTCGAATAACTACTCTCGGACTCTGCTTCTGAATTCTCAGTAGACGTCGTCGATCCACCACGTCTAGTCCGATCTACCGTAATCGTTGAGGATACTGTCGATCCTTCACGACTTCTGACACACGACGAGCTGGCTCCAGACGACCCAAGATATCCAGAATCCGTTGAGGATACTGTAGATGGTTTTCGAGCGATGCATGGTGATGCGTGAATGATGTTGTAGAGCTCCTCGTCGGTTAGACTCGAATCTTTTATAACTTCAGAATCACCAACGCTGATTATCGTTCGGAATTTTGATGACGTCGAGGGGAGAAGTGTACGAGAGGATAGTCGGCGACTGTGGATTTCGATGTTGTCGGCTCATCCTGATGGGGGAGTCGGAGAATGTTTAGGATCATTCTCAACGGGGGAGAGAGGGAATTTCAGTTCTTCAGTACGTCAATACTTGGACAGAGGATTCTGAAGAAGAAAGGATCAGAGAGTGTACAGAATGAAGAGAGAGGCAGAGAGAGAGGCAGAGAAAAATGAAGGTGTTAGTCCGTGAGTGAATTTGGAAGGTTTCTAGCTAGCTAACGATATCTAGGCAACCTTGAAATTCTCGAGTCATCTCTAGAAAATCGGATTTCCAAACTTTAAAAGCTTGGCCATCAAGTTTTGAAATTCTAAGACAAATTTTGATTCCTAGGCCATGGTTGAATTTTTAGGCCAAACTGGGATTCCTAGGTCAAACTTGAATTTCTAGGCCATATCAGGAATTCTAGGCCACGTTGGCTTTTTGGGTGAAATTTGGAATTCTAGACCAATTAGCGTTTTCTATGTCTCTTTGGAAATCTAGGTCACTTAAAGAAGTCTAGGCCACCTCGGATTTTCTAGGCCTCTTTTGATTTCCTAGGCCATCTCAAAAAATCCTAGGCCACCTCACACTTTTTAGGTCATTAAACTAAAAAAAACCCAAGTCAAAAAACAGTCAGCCACAATCTCGCTCCCACGGCGTATGTGTCCTCGAGAGTACCCTCTTCCCCTATCCTAAATTCTAAAAAAGGCACGCCCCTTTTTTTTCTCAAGAGGCTCCGCCCACTTTTTCTCCTTATCAAACTATTTGTACTCTATGTATCAACAATTTTGGGAGGACTGTGTGGATTTGACGAAATGAGATTTAAGAATAAAAATAGAAAAATAAATTAGTTGCAGACAGTGGACTAGAAAAATCAGAAAACAATCAGATTGGGTGTCGATTTGGATGGAAAATGGTAAAAAGAGGGTGAGAATCAGAATAACAACAGATTGAAACTAGAAAAGGCAAGAAAAAGGGAACACCAAAAAGAAGAAGAAGAAGAAGTGACAAACAATTGGCGAGTGATGAGTGAATGAACATAATGAATAAATCAAGACACAGAAAATAAGAGAAAAGAAAAGAGGTTGGAGAAAAATAAAGTGTTCTAGCTAGATGAATGAATAGGAAATGTAGAAAACAAATGGGTTCACTCTGGACTACGGTAGATTCATTGAAAAGGGTTCCTAGTATCGTGAGGATTTAAGCTTCATGTATTCTAATGGGCTAATAGGTTCCAAGAACAACCTAATCGTTTTTTTTTCAGGGAAACACTTTAGAATATTTGAGATTCTAGGCCACCCAGGTCATCGAATTCTAGGCCAGAAAATGATGTGTTTCTCGGTCATAGATTAGGGACCTAATGGACTGAAAAAGCGGCCAAAGTTTTCCGATTTGGGATTCTAGGCCACCAACGAATTTCTAGGTCATCTTGGCTTCCCTGTCTTAGATGAGCTGAAACTGGGTATTAGGACATTATCCTTCACTTCTCTAGGATATAAAATTTTGAGTTTTTCGGCCATTAAAATATGTATTTTTAGGCCACATTTGAACTTCTAGCCCACGTTTGAATTTCTAGGCCATCAAAAAACTTTTGGTTTTTAGTTTTGCTTTTGATTTTTAGGTCAAGTTAGGGTCTCTAAGCTGCATCGTCAATTCTAGGCAATATTTGGTTTTCTAGGCCATCAAGTTTTCTTAGTTTTTCTGCTATTACTCTCGTCCGAAATCAATGCACGTTGCGGCCGAAAATTTGCTCAAAATCGCATCGTCGGTCGCACAGCGAAAAAACAAATCGATGCATGCACCTTTAAACACCGTACCTCGGACGTTTTTTATTTTGGGCCCTATTTGGCTGTTTTTTTCTATTTTATAAGAAAAATAAATTGAAGATTTATAAGAATTACACAAAATTAGACAGAAACAAGCGGAAAAATGAGAGAAATTTGAGAAAATTCGTTGAATGTTGAGGTACTGTATTAAAGGCGCGTGCAATAATTTGAAAAATACAGTAAGGCTCTTTCTGTGGGAGCTAAGATCTGCCCATCGTTGTTTTCTCGGCCGCAACGTGCATTTATTTCGGACAAGAGTAATATTTCAAGAATCCACGTGTTTTTTTCCTGGTATTTATAAGTTCCTGATGACCTCAAAATACATGTTTTCCCTTCTTCTTCTTTTTCGATAAAATCGAAAAAAAAGAACAAGAAAAGGAAAAATGGACCGGAATACTTTCTCATTAATTAGGAAAGAGAATCTTCAAAAGTTATTTTTGTTTTCTGAAATATATTTTTTGTACTTTCAATTTCTAAAAGCATTTTTTGATGGCCTTAAAATGGGAACTCCGATGACCCAGAAGCTTCCAGACATCGGAGTAATGCAAATTCGCTCTACCGTAACAAGAAGCAACCGGAAACCGGAAAATCATAGCTGAAACTATACGGATAAGAAGGACAAGCAAATTGCTTCTTGCCGTTCCAAATCCTTATGCGGTGAAGGATGGAGAAGGATAAGAATAAGGAGAAAAGCGAAAAAAAGGGAAATTGCGTTTTTCCGCTTTTTCGCGGAAATATCATTTCTGATGGATGGCAACTTTTATACCATGTGTATAATCCAATCAGAAAGAATTCGGATTTGAGATGGAAAAGTGAATATAAAATGGAATGGATAATAGAAATGCAACTGTTTCTGGTGGACTAGAAAAATCCAAAGATGGCCTAGATTTCTGAATTTTGATGGCCTCAAAACCTGTGACGTTTCAAAAATTTCAAAATTTGAATGTCAGACCTCCGTACCTTGCAATCTGAAATTCGCAGAACTTGGATTCTTGGACCCTTCAACTTTCTTTTAAAAATCCAAAATTTCCACTTTTCGAAATTTTTGTGACCAACACAAAAAAAAACATTATTTTGAAGGACAAAAACACCCACACATCTACACATCAAAAATGCTTTGTAAATACAAATAAATAGAGACACTTGAGAACGGAAAAAGTGAAAAAAATATGAGATTCTCAATTAGGGACATTCTTAATGTTTAGGTTTGAAGGATTTTTGTTTCGAAGTTCGAACAAAATATTTTGATGAAAATTTGAAAAAAAAAGAAGTTTTGTTTGTTGATGTTCGATTTTTGGGGCTACTGTAGATTAGAGAACTAGTAGGAAAATTTAAGAATTTTTGATTTGGAATTTCGAGTGTAACAGAAATCCATATGGGTTTTTTTTTGAGTTCTCAGCTTCTTGTTCAGTGAAATTGGAAATCTAGGCCGTCAAAATTGGGATTTCTAGGCCATCAAAATTCTTTGAAAATTTAGGACTAAACTAAAAAACCACAAAGAACAGATCAGATCAAAAAGTGTGGAGAGACACTACAGACAGATACAAATCTAGATTCTAATCTATGCAAATTGCGCAACTTTTCGCACTCCCTCTTCCCTCAACGAGACTACAAACTACACTTCACTGTAGGGGACCGTGTAGGTGCGACACAGTAGCACTAATAATAGAGGAGGACAGATAATTGGATTGGGATGGCACAAAACATAAAAACGGCCAAAAATTTGCACCGAACGATAAATAGACGGATGATGGTTTTTGAAATGTAAAAGTACAGTAATCCTT